TATTTTCAAAATCGACATTAGTGTATGGACATTACTTATTAAAATATTGTGGGTAAATTTTAGTAAACTGTTTATATAATAATGTCCATACACTAATGTCGATTTTGAAAATAGTTACTAACTGTCACTAGAAAATTGCCATGGCGATACCAACCGTCTTGATTGCCATTTTATTTAAAAATCGCTTTTTATTCAAAATCTGAGATAGATAGGTATAGGAAACCCTAATATAGTTTGAAAGAGCATTTGAATCTGCTTCGATTTATTTAAAAAAATACAGGGCGTTGCATTTGAAATAACAAAGTTTGTATGTAAAATAAATCTTTAAAATAGATCACCAATTTTTGGTACCCCTGTATAAATTTGAACAAGCAATAATATTTTTCTTTAAAGTTTATTTCTTTACCTTTCAACTCAGCACAAGAATTTAAATCAAGTTGATTTAAATTATTGCACTCTGGATGGGAGCATAGTTTACACAGTTCCAATCTTATGCCGGGTCCAGACCAAGGCGACAAAAACTAAACACGATTTTGAGACAAAAACAAGACAAACTTGTCACAAAAAATGGAGACTTCTGACAAGACAAATTGTCCACACCGCAATGACAAAAGTACAACAAAGTCAAAAGTTTAATTGTTGCGAATGAGTTTTATTAACCATGTGTGATTTGACTGGTCTCCTACTGTTGGCAGCACACGCCATCCACACTGCGCCGACAACTTGTCGCAAAATATACGAACAAAACATAGACACTTTGATCTTTACCGATTCGAGACGGGACATTGAAAAGTCTTCAAATTTTGAAACAAAACAAAAATGAGACAAAAATGTTGCAGAAATGTATTGGATTTGTTACAACTTTGTCGTAAAACATGAATGTTTCTGTCTTGTAACTGTTTTGTCTGCTTGGTCTGGACCCGGCATTACTTACTTATAATCCAGTGCTGCAGTGACAGTCGCTCTGCTGTTTCAGGATTCTTACCGCAGCAGTCTAAAAAATGTCAAGAGCAGTTTTATCTAGTATATATAAGTATTGAGTGACATGTAACTTTGTATTTTATTTATATACTAGCGTGTACCAGCGACTTCGTTCGCGTCGAATTAATCATTTGTAATGGTGATGATAAAGCAAAGCAAGAATTTCCATTAACATACAAACTGGATAAAATTTTCTCACATTTATGTCAGTATGAGAAAAAACAATATGGCGATATTATTATATAACTTGGTAATATTTGAGGGGTAGTTTCATCTCGTTAGAATTTGACTTTCGAAAAATCCGTTTGCCAAAAATAAGCTTTTTACGTCAAGCAGTTTAAGCTGAATCGTGGTTAAGAAATTACCCAACTTTTTGGAACACCCTGTATGATTTTTTAAAAAATTCAAAATATGTAAAAAAACCAAATAAATTATGCTTGTCCAAGCGTTTTCCCGAAAGACTAACCGTTTTTTAAATAACAAATATTGTAATATTTGAGGGGCGTTTTCACCCTCTTGGAATTTGAGATTCGAGAAACCCCTCCTTATCGAACCTCTACACCCCACAGTCAATCCGTTTACCAAAAATCAGCTTTAAACGTCAAGCAGTTTAAGCAGAATCGTGATTACTCAATGGTCATATTTTATGAAACACCCTGTATAAATTTATAAAAAATCTTAGAATATGTAAAACAACAAAATAAAATATACGTGTTTAAGAGTTTTTCCGAAAAACTCACCGGTTTTAAATAAAAAATATTTTAATATTTGAGGGATAGTTTCACCGCCTTAGAATTCGAGTTTCGAAAAATCCCTTCTTATCGAACCTCTACACCCTAAAGTCAATCTGTTTTCCAAAAATCAGCTTTTTACGTCAAGCGCTTTAAGCAGGATCATGATTAATCAATGACCAGATTTTTCGAAATACCCTTTATACATTTTTAAAAAATCTTAAAATATGTAAAAAAACAAAATGAAATATACGTGTTTGAGCGTTTTTTCGGAAACTTGACCGTTTTTTAAATAAAAAATATTGTAATATTTGAGGGATGGTTTCACCCTCTTGGAACTGGAATTTCGAGAAATCCCTTCTTATTGAACCTCTATACACCCTAGAATCAACCTGTATGCCAAAATTGAGCTTCTTACGTTGAGTGGTTTGAGCAGGATCGTGATTAATCAGTATGTCAGTCACTTAAGGATTTTATATATTAGCATAGTATAAGGAAACTAGTAGCTTTACTCCTTGTCAAATCCTTTGTTCTTTTTCTGCCACTTTATATGACCTTGTTCTCGCCTCCCGTGACCACTGACGTAGCTGTATAGTCGTGGTATATTAACTAGGCAAAGTATAGTCGTGGCATTCGCCATAGTTTCACAGATATGTATTTAGGAAAATATGAGTTCATAATAAAATAAAATAAAAAAAATTGATCATCGATTAAAAACTTGCTTGAAAACAGAATATTAGTAACAATTCTTCTGTATCTGAAAATCTTCTGATGGGAAGAAATGCGGAAAAGTATATAATGACATATTTTTATATTATTATCTATTTCAGAGATTTTCCACAACTTTTTTTTGATTTAAAACAAGTTTAATTTTCTGTATATAACTGGATTCGGCATAAAATTCTGCTATAGTACACTGTTTTTATTTAAAGCACACTGCGGTGTTGCCATTCTATTTCTTATTTACTAAAACTTTGGTTAAAAACATTATATACGAAAAGTGGTAAAAAACAAGAGTGAATATCACTTTATTAATACTTAGCTATGTTTTCTTAAACATGAAGGATACCAGAATAAATTCGTGTAGAAAAATTTACTTTATCGTATACAGGGTATTTTTTATGGCGTCACCAAAATCGTAATATTTAAAATGTTGTATCTCATTTTTTTAAATGCAACACCTTGTAAATTATTTTTCTTTCAGATGTAGAATTAAAAGGTGAACATTTTTTGTATTTAAAGTGTTCTTAAATTTTTAGCCGTTTTGTAAATATTTTCTGTATTTCATTACATATTATGGGATTTTCAACGATAAAATATTAGACAAAGATCACATTAGGTGGCTTTGAAAAAAATTTACTGTTGAAAGAGTTATATGTAATATAATACTGCGAATATCTGCGAAACCGTTAAAAATTTAGAAACATTTTAAATAAAAAAAATGTTCACTTTTTAATTCTACATCTGACAGAAAAATAATATACAGAATGTTGCATTTAAAAGAAATTGAGATATATTATTTTAAATATTCCGATTTTGGTGACGCCATAAAAAATACCCTATATAGAATAATGTAAATTTTTCTACTCGGATTTGTTATCCTTGTTTAGGATTTTCTATTTTCTTTTTTAACACTTGGCTATAATAAAGCCAATTGTTAATAAAGTTATATTCACTCTAGTTTTTTACAACTTTTCGGATATAATGTTTTTAACCAAAGTTTTAGTAAATAAGTCATAGAATGGCAACATTGTAGAATGATTCAAATAAATATAGTGTACTATATGCAGAATTTTATGCTGAATCCGATTATCTACAGAAAAATGGGAGGGGGTGCAGTTGGTTAGGCAATTTAAAGAAATAAAACTAACTTTACCATAACCTTTTTTGTGACACCTTGTATATAACAAAATATTTTAGGATACGTCCCTTTATAAACCTTGAAACATATTAATAAAACTTTTTTCACATCTTCGACAACGACGACGATATTGGACTTCCTCGCACTAATGGGCCACCCTGTATATTTACGGTGGTTTAAAGCTAGTGTAGCACTTTTCTTCCCTCAAATACAAACTCAATATTTTGTCTATAATATTTTGAATATTGTTATATTACGACCACTTATAATAAAAAATAAATAAATAAAAAAAAACATAAAAAATACAGTCCACTAATTTTATAAGAGATTATAAAATTCTTTCAATTAAAAAATATGAATAATTTGCGGAGACTTTAGATGTACAAAATATTTACTCTAAAATTGTTTCAAAAACCAATCTATATAAATTATCTCCTAAATTATTATTGGAATGAAAATTTTATGACAAATCCCCTGATCAAAAAATATTTTTATGCGCATATTTGAGACAACCTGTATATCTAAAAAACTATTTTTAAAATCTGCCCACATGCTAAAAAAATAATAACATTTAATTAATTACATAATATCTCAGCTTCTAAAATAAACAAATATAATTAAATGTTTATTGATATGTAATTACTATCAGCTTGCCGATTTACATCCGATGGAAATCTAAAAAAACTCCAAGAACAATTTTTTGAATTATTACTACAATTAATAGCAGCACACAGTAAGGCACTCATTTTTTGTCAATCCGTCTCTGTGCTGGGACGCAAGGCTCGAACCTCGCAGCTCGACGGACGGAATTCAACTGAAACGCTTTGCAATCTGCCGATATTCGACAGATTGCAAAAACTGGCAGAAAATATTTGCGAGAGTGCAACTACTCTTTTCCTTAAACTATGATATTAGTATAGATTACGTTATTTTGTGAGTTATGTTTTGTTATTGAACAACTATAAATGGTGGATTTATATTTTATAAATATGACATTTGGCCAAACTGATAAAGACTAGATTGTTGTCGAAATGGTTTTGTAACTAAAAAAAATTTGGAAAAATATAATATGACATAAATATAATGTATATTATTTAAACTGAACTGCATACCCAAGAATCTCTGCATAATTTAAAAAATGTCAAGTATAAAACCCGCGGATTTCATTTTAAAACTGAATTTCAAAGTAGCTTTTCTTCTTGATAACTAAATTTCGAATGACTATTTGATTAGAAACAACAATTAAAATAAAGTAGTGATTTAATTATTCACCAATAATAAAAAGTAGAATTTGATAAGACAAGGATTATTACTTGAGGGAGAAGTGCGTGTGGTATGCGCTGTAATGTTATGACAAAACAGCTTGTTGTTAGCGTGTGTTATATAAATAAATTTCGATTAGATCGTCTAGTTCAGTTGCCGGCTAGGCGTGTTGCGGTGTTGGTCGTTTTGTTGTTTTAATTTCAACATCATGATCGTGGAATAGAGAGTGCGTGGTGTATTTATAAATGAACGCAAATAACTTAGCTTTAATTGATCGTCCAGACTTTAAAATTGTGATACTTATTTTCATAATACTTAAATTTACTGTGTTAATATTTAAAGGTAAGATTTACTATTTGAATAACGCTATTATCTCTGACTTCGTTCAGGTAGAATACCTGTAAATAATGATATGTCTCCCAGTGTGTGGAGGTCACACAAAAAATACAAAATAAAAAAATATAAAAGATTATCCCATAGATTATCCTATTATAAGTGTATAAGTTCTGTGTGATCCAGGCACCTCGGCAATGAAGCAATTGAAGTTATTGATGTAAATGTGATATTAATATATTCTACAACTAATTATTATTGTTTTAACATTTTAAGTACGGATAATAAATGTTTGAGATGATTTCACAATTGATAATTAAAATTATTTAATTTTTGAGGAAATATGAGGTTAGAATTTCGAATGTATCTTCCATTATTAAATTTAATAAGAATGACCATAGAATGAAGATAGATTCCGGTTTATTGGTCTTTTGCTCGCGTCTGCGCATATCGATGGCGGTAACAATAAAATTTTGAAAATGGTGTGTCTGACATGAATCAAATAAATAAATCAATTAGATATTTTGTTTTATTTATACCTTCCTATTAATTTTGATAAATAGCAGTAGCGATATTGGGTGAATTTTTTTTAACCTAAATCGCCTATTAACAAAACACGATATCCATAGAAGCCTTGTATATATACATATATTATCCAGGGTGAGTCTTAAATAAGTGCAAATATTTTCAGGGGTGGTGTATTTCGACCCCAGGAACACGTCATGAGTTTTTTTCGCTAAAAAAACATGTTGAAAATCATGCATTTTCTTTTAAATTTCCCTGTATATTTTTCGTAAACTTTTTAAAACTGCCTGTTCACCGCAAATTATTTAATTCCTTAATCTGGTAATTTCTTAACCGGTATAATTCCTTAATCTCAGATATTACCATAGTTACGGCTTTACTAAATTATGGTTGCGGCAATAAAAGGGATGCAAATACAGAACAAATCCGGTGGCTCTCAAAATTTTTTCAAAAAAAATCTTTTTTTTTTTAATTTTCAAACTTAAATAACTCGGTGATTTTGGACTTATATGAAAAATGGTAAAGAGAAAATATGTTCCTTTTATCGAGATCTACCAGCCCTGAAAATATTTGCAGTTATTTAAGACTCGCCCTGTATATACAAGGATAGAAGCCTCCCCAAACACAAAATCATAAAAAATTGTTTGCGGAAATGCATCATTTTCTTTTATCCGACTTTAGAATAACTGAAATCAGTTACATGAAAACATATTCCTGCTTTACATTCTAGACAAGTACGCACTAAAAGTTTTATTCATTTTTAAAACGATATATTTTTGAAGAAAATATATCATTTTCTTAAAATAGTGTTAACTTTAGAAAAACTAAAATCAATTGAGGGGTTTCTGGCAAAAATCCCTCTCTTTCTCTTTCTCTCTTTCTCAGCCTGGTTCCATCCAGTGTTGAATATAGGCCTCTTCTAGGTTTTTCCACGCTTCGCGATCTCTAGCCAATCTTATCCATTGTCTTCCCGCCACTGCCCTGACGTCATCGACCCATCTCTTTTTTGGTCGGCCCACACTTCTTGTTGTTCCCCTAGGTCTCCATAGGATTATTTTTTGGGGCCATCGGTCTGGATCCTGTCTTGCCACATGTCCTATCCATTGCCACTTCAGACTTGCCACTCTTTTAACGACATCTATTAATTTTGTTTTTTGACGTATGTGGGTATTCCGTATTTTTTCCCTAATGGTGACTCCCAACATGATTCTTTCCATTGCTCTTTGTGCTACTCGTAGTTGTTCTGCTGTTTTTCGAGTAATTGCCATAGTCTCTAAGCCATACCTAAGCACAGGTAGAATGCAGCTGTCGTCAAGCCTTTTTCTTTAGGTTCATGGGCACCTTTTTATCCTTGAAAATATCGCTCATATTTCCAAATGCTACCCATGCCAAATGGATCCTGCGTTTGATCTCCGAAATACAGCAAAAATCCCATTAGTCAAAAAATAGGTAAAATGAGTTAATGGCGCTATCCGACAGTAATTTGTTAGTCATAACGTTCCTACCAAACGAATTCGGGAAAAGTGCTATAAGTCAGCCCGTGCATATATGATCAAAAATACCGTAATTCCGCAAGAACCCCACAAGTCACAAGTCTTAACGGTAAGTAGTTTGGTTGTTTGTCGTTCGTAATCGTTCGAATAGTTGCTAAGAGGAATTGGTTATTTCCACGGTTTTTGCCAAATTTCCAGCAAAAACCCCACATGTCAAACAAATTCACGCCTTTCCTAACTTAAAAATAACAAAAAAATAAGGAAAACTAGTTTTCTGTAATTTCAGATTATAACCAGAGCTCACACAAAAAAACGACAATTTAAATTTAAATGGGAGCAAAATATACGTTTTTTTTTCCAAATTTCGAAATATCTGACTAATGGGGGTTTTGCCAGAAACCCCTCAATTACTAAATACATGTTTCTGTTTTATATCCTAAAATTTCTTCTAAATATAAATAAGCACAAAATTCCTTGCGGAAATTCATCGTTTTAATTTTTCAATTCAAAAGATTATCTCAAATAAATTTTAAGAAATATTAATAAAAATGTATAGAATTACAAATGGAAATGTTGAAGCCAACGCAATCAAATTCGTATTAAAATTAAGAAAACAAAAACAGAATTACAACAAAAAAGGTTTAAACAAAAGCAATCTAATTTGTATTAAATAAAAAAATTCACAGATTTTGCAACATGCGCAACCATCATAGGCGTATTGAAAATACCAGACACAAAAGTCGGCGGTGGTCGGCAATCATCTGTCTTTTACATTTTATATTAATCTGTGACGTCATTTGGAAGAGCTCAATAGAAATATGAAAGAACTAAACCTTGTTTGGAAAGCAATTTGACATTCGTGACGTCAGCATTCTGGCAGTCTAACGTAGCGCTAATTGCCATTCGCAAATACTGGGGTCGGCATTACTGGTCTTGGGTGCCGATTTTCGTGTGTACGAAACGTAAAATAAGATGTACTGAATAAAGACAGAAGGCAAGTATTTTTCCAAGCGCATGGATCTAGCGTCAGATTAAAGTGATTATATTACAAATATTTCGTATTTTGGCTCGATGGCGGTATGAACTTAGATACTGGTAGAACATACTAGATACTAATTTTATTAATAATTTAGACATCAATACCGTACACAGAAAAACAAAAATAAACAAAAGCGTGAAACCCAAGGTAGGTAAAACCAAAGAACTATATAGTTATTCATTAACCTATCTTGAATAAGAGCTCCAATATCTCGACAATATGAAAAAATAAATGCTTGTTTCTAATTCCAGTTGCCAAGTGCTTGTCAAATTTTGCTATATTTTACAATAATTTATCAATAAATGAAGAAAATTTCTAGAATGACAAAAACAGGAAAGTGATGTTAGCTAAAAATGATGCATTTCCATAATAGTCCAGGAGGGAATGAATATTTTCGGTACTTAATTTCCCAGTCAGCAAACACCGATGGAATTATTCGGTATCTTATTCTAAGCAAATTTTATATGTATATAATATATATAAGGGGGGGGGGGGCTTTTTGATGGATTGAGGCGGAAAATGCGTTATAAAGTACAAATATACTGCACTTTTTTCCAGCGATAAAAATAATTCTAATATAGTGAGAGATGTTGTGCAGTTAAGAAAAAAAATAGTCTAGCTAATCTGTGAGAATGGGTAGTAAGTCTAGCAAGAGAAAAACTGGATAAAAATTATTGAAACTATTGCCCTTATTTTCGTAGTCCTAAAAATTTGTCAGATGATAGTTTATATTACAATACAGCTGCAAATATAGTCTGGCTCGTGTGGAACATCCCGAAAGCCTTGCCAGACTCGTCCAACGCTCACCAGATGCGCTGAATTCGGCCTGTTCAATTATACAGGTGATCGTTGTCATCTCTACATGTTTTTACCTTCCATAATTTATGGGAAGAAAAGTATTGGTTTAGGGTGAAATTTGACTATGGACAAAACACTTTTCTCAAAGTTTTGACCCCAGCGATCCAAAAACAAGGTTTTTTAGTCCGTCCGTACACCATCAAAAAACTACATTCGCCAATAACTTTGTAATTATCAGAGATATAAGAAAGTTGTAGTAATAAATATCAAATATTTGTTAAAGGAAATTTAATTTTCTTCAAAATCGATCTCTTGACTTTATTTTTTATCTCCTTTAGTTTTTGAGTTATAGCAATAAACAAGTCTGGTCAAGATGACTTGTCCAAAACTTTTCATCATATGAATGTGTTTGGATCTGGAGCGATTTTTGAAATTAATTGATAATGTGCTTTTGCTACATTGAAAATCACGAAATTGCAGACTGTCAAAAATTTTTGCATCAAAAAATACGAAATGTACGACCTGACTCGAGCGGGGCTTTCGTGGTTGTAAATGACAGCTAGACGTGTATTTTCTATGACATTAAAAATAATATTATAATTATTTTTAATGTGACAAATTTTCAAATCCGGGAAAATAAGTGCAATTTTTTTTTAATATTTACAATTTTCAAGATGCCGCCAAACTGAGCCAAACTCATTTGCCAATTTTATAAATGAATCAGACTTGCTTTTGAGTATAGTTTCTGATTGTATCAAATGATACGTTAAATTTCAAGCATGAGAAAATAAAGCTTCATTCAGAACGTCGAAATCAGTGGAATAAATTAGTAGTTTCAATTAGCCGTGGAAGTTTGTTCACCTAATTTCAATGTAAGCATTCAGAACGTCATAATTAGTGGGAGTACTTTTCAATTATTGGAAAAAGTCATTAACGTAAGTAATAACTCAATGGAAAAAGTTAACAAACTTTTGACTTTTCCACTAATTATACTTCAAAATTTGCGAGGAATGTCATTTTGGCCTTTGAACCCGCCAAGAAAAATTTTGGTTAGAAATCAAAAGTTTATTGTTTTATAAGCTAAATATTATGCTTTCTCTATGGATACAACAGACTACCGCAAGCTGTTGCTAGGATATGTTATTAATTTTAAT